ATTGGCTTAATTTATACACAGACAAATTTGAGTGTCTAGTGTCTACACACCTCTTTTATTTCATAATTACAACAATGTTTCTCAACGAAGTAAGCATACTAAAATTATGAGCTAGGACTTAGCAAAGACGGTGGCGGAGATGGCGGCTAATGGCTTGGTGGTGGTGGAGAAAGCCATGGAGAAGGAGGACTTTTGAAGTGAATGGGAGGATCGAATGCGGAGCGGGACGGTGGTGGTGGAGGATGAAGCGGAGAAGAAGGAGGACTACTTAAATGATGCGGCGAATAACAGTGGGTGATCGTGGTGAAAATTGACCACCTTCCTTCTTGGAAACTACCTAGTAGGGAAAATGAGAAGGAATTGCATCTACGGAGGACCTAGAAACAAATTCAGTGATTCCATGCGAAAGGAGGAACATGGGGTTCTTATTAATTGCCCCGAAGATCTACTATGTTCTTGATTCTGATCTGCCCCGATTCCATAACCTAAAGAGGAAGTATGATACAGAAAAGGCCAAGGTTGATGGGAAGAAGTGTGAGGAAGATGAATTAGTTTACAAAGGTCATATATTGCACACTATTACTGATCTTTTGTATGATCTCTACTCAAATCTCAAGTCACCCAAAAAGATTTGGAAGGCATTGGAGGATCAGCACAACAACGAGAAAAAAAAAGTACTGAGAAGTTTCTTGTTCTTAAGGATCTTACATTAAAGATTACTTATGACAAGCCCATTATGGATCAAGTTTATAAGTCACAGATTCTGGTTTCTAACCTTGGTGACCTTGAGATAAAAGTCCCAATCGAATATGCTCTTCAAGTGGGAGCTATTTCCTTGAAAGTTTCACTATTTCACAATTTCAGATCCACATGCAAAAATTGGGGCAAAGTCTCGCAATTGGGAAGCTTTGCCTTCTGATGGTAAAATTTGAAATGTGAATTATATGAGTGAAATTGAATTTAGAGAGGATATTAATTAATATACTATCTAATTCAACATACTGTATAATATGTTTATTAAAAAACTTATTTTTATTTTATATTAAATTAAAAACAAACAAACTTAAAGTTATAACAGTGTATATAACATATAGAAATTAGGTGAATTAAATATATTTATATTATATTTTAATAATTAAATCAGGTAAATATGAAAAGATATGTAAAATTAAAAAGTGTACAGATCATTTTCTTTTTGAAATTTTTTTTCAAAAATTCAAAAATTAAAAAATGAAAATACTTTTAAGAATTCATTTTCATTTAAAAAAAATAAGTGTTATTTCCGTTGTAGAAAGAAATGACATTATATTAAAGAGTGCAGGTACTGTAGTAAAGCAGTACTTAAGAATTAATGGAGACTGACTCGAAATTTGCAATCAAGATGATCAACGCAGATTTCATTCTCTAACAGGCAATCTGTTGATTGGAAAGATGACAATCAAGATGGCATTAGTGCAATGGTGGTTTGCTTGTAGAAGCATGGCAAGTCCAGTTTCAACAATATGTTTGCGCTTCCTCACAACTATCCCATTTTATTCTGGTGTTCTAGGACAAGAAACCTATGACTTGATGCCACAAGTTTCTAGATATTTAAGAAACTCGGAGCTTGCAAACTCTTCTCCACTATCACACTGAAACAACTTGATGATTCGTTCAAAGTGGATTTGAACGTCTCTTTGAAACTTATTGAAAAACATTAAAATTCTATTTAATATAATTATAGTTTTTTATTTTAGTCTTTATTTTTATAAATAATTTTACAATTCTAAACAGAAAAAACTCATTTTGTTGATGTGATCTTCAATATATTTTTATGGTTTTTAGAGAAATAAGAATAAGAATATTTTTAATACTACTAAACAAGTTTAGATTTTTTTTTTTTTATGAGAAACAAATTTAGAACTTTAGTTAGTATTAAATCTTAACATACAAATTTTTTATTTTGGTTTTTTTCAATTGCAAAATTTTTAAAACAAAAACAAAAAATTACAACCATATTAAATGAAATGTAAAATACTAAATTTCTTGTAAAGATGATAAAACCTTGTTTATTTACTATATTCATCTACGCATATAACATAACATGTGAAACGGTTATAGGGGAAGGGTCCCATAAAGTACGATGAACTTTTTAAAAGAGAAACTTTAATTTTTCATTATTTTTAGTAATGGAAGTTTACAGTTCTTCCCAAGTCGACAGCTACTGCATGCATATAGACGAGGAGGGTGAGTCCATTTTGACAAAGATATTTTTCTTAATTTGCTGAAAGTAGTTGGAGAACGCGAAAAGTGAGGATGTACTAAGCATTGATGCTAAATGGAATCCTTTATTTTTTGTGATTGTGTGCATGTTTTTCATTTTCGTTCATTCTCTCAAACTAAACAAACTCTTCATCTTTCTCTAGCAACAGTTTTGCTCAATGTGTTATAATACATGATGAGATTATTAGTGTAAAATTTTAAATTATATTACTATTTTAAAGCTATTTTAAAATTATTTTATTGCCTTGGCTTCTTGTATATTTGAATTTATTATGTACTTTATGTACTTTTCTCATTGTAAGGAGAAGAAAGAGAAGAAGATTGTAAGTATAAACAGTAAATTCCTAGCACACTTGATCTTCAATGACTTCCTTTTATCTGCACATACATTGCCAGCGGATTTAGTTGTGAAAGTTCACCATTAAGGCCTTGACCTTGATTCAAATCTACCACTCTCATAGATTGAAAATGTTAAAAAAAATGGCTTCCTTTTATTTTATTTTATTTTTTGTTTGGCATAGGTGAAAATAATACTGCAAATCTATGTCTTTTTTCATTTTTTTTGTAAAAAAAAAAAAGGTTAGGATGCCATAACATTAAAATATATTATCTTTATTTAATCTATTTTATTTGTCACACTTTTATTTAATACAGTTATAGAGAAAATTATAAAGATCTATAAAAACACAATTATTGATAAAATGACTAGAATGTGTTCTGTTTGGGCCATGTTTTACCTTATATGAATAAAATGTGGATTGTAAATTGTAATATTCAGTCTTGGTGAAGAAAATGTGTTCTGTTTGGGCCAATTTTCAACTTATGTGGCCTTTTAGAAAGCATTTGGTCATTTCACGCAATTAGGCACTTTCGTAGAAGTGCCGAAAGGGCGTGTTTGGGTCAAACTTTCACGGGCCTAGTGTGCTTTTCGAAAAAGACCTGGGCCTGTTTATCATAATCAGAATTCTTTTCCTAAGCCTTGGGAATTCTGTAAATATTGGCTCCAATTTTGGTTTTTAAAATTTAAACAAGTGAATGTCACATATTTTGCACGTCATAATTAATAATTAGTTAATATTTTGCACATTATTCACTTTAATAGTATGTTTGGGTTGAGAAAAATGGAGAAGAGAAAAAGATATTTTG